GCTTTTTCTACAGTATTTTTCATTTTTAAAAAAATAATAAGATGAAGAAGTATAAAGTTTAAAGCTTGTAAAAACTGAAAATTTTTTAACGATTTTTTAACAATATTTATTTATTATCATTATTGTATTTTCCTAAAAATAAGCTACCACCGAAAATAAGCTACCTTCTATTTTTGGAAGAAAAACGTAAAAACCTTTTTAGCCCGAAAATAAGCTACTTTACGATCATCAGTAGTTTCTCTAAAGTAAAGTCGAAATTTTACTAAGTAAATCGATAAAGCTTATTAAGTAAAAGTTGTTTAGGAGATCAAAATACATATATTCTAAAAGTTTTATCCAAATCGGATAACTTTTAATTAATACATTTTTGCATGTTACTTTCGACGAATTTTTTAAAATTTCTTTAAAGTTTCTTTAAAATTCATATTCCTCGAACGTAAAAAGCAAAAGTCAATTAATAAAAAGTTAGCCGATTTATATGAAACTTTCAGGATTGTGCAATTTTATCTCCTGAACAATTTTCACTTAATACACATAATCGATTTACTTAATAAAATTTTTCGCAATTGGCAAAAAACGCTTTTACCCGAAAATAAGCTATCTACAAAATTTTTGTGTAACTTTTTGCCCAAAAATGGTAGCTTATTTTCAGGAAAATACGGTACTATTTATAATAAACTATATTATCAAAATGATTTATAAATCTAATTAATAAAATTTTATTAATATAGCTTACGTATTAATTTAAACTTTTGTTTATATAATTTAACTTTTTGTATTTTTAAATCTCAATTCTCATCAATTATGTAGTATCATACCAAATATATAGTTACGTATAACAAAGCTTATTTCTTACGTATTAAAATAATGATGATATTATTTACATTAAATTTAAATATTAACTATTAATAAAAAGTTTGCCAATTGTTTTTTTTTTGTTTTTTTTTTTTTTTTTTTTTTTTTTTTACAAGTTATAAAAATAGCTACTTATTTCTCTTTCGAGTTTATTAAATATCTTTTTCTTCCTTTTTAGTTTATTAAATATCTCTTTCTTTTTTTCTATATAGTTTATTAAATATTGCTTTCTTTATTATAATTGTTTTATTAATATGTTACGTACTAAATTTGGAACCAAATATGATAAAAATAATAAAAGATTTTCTTATAACATTTCTAAACCTTTAACACAAGATTCTTCAGAAATTTCTATGACTCAGTTAGACCCTTCTGTTATATATTCTTCAGATGAACCAATGGAAGATTATATAGAATCTAATGAAGATTCTTTTAACGAAGACAATATTAGTTATGATAATAAACATGCTATAGATTCTTCAGAAGAATTAGATGAAGATATAAATTCTTGTGAAGAATTTGTTTCCGAAACTTCCAGCAATAGTATTAGTTCTTGTGATGAATTAAGCAGTGATAGTTTATCAACATCAGTTGAAAATGAATTTTTTGACGATATTGTTGACAAAGCTTTAGATTCAGATAAATTGCCACAAAATACTGGTGATTTTTTACCATATTTTGAAAATACAACTACTGCATTAATGTTTAGCTGGATACAAAAAAATAGTATTGGTAATAT